GTCTCAACTTGTTTTGATGAAATAGTCTTATCCACTAAATTGGTGTTTTGATTATATCAATCATGTCTATCCACATGTTCATAGCATATAACACAAATTGTTTGTCTCTTGGATAGGGTCAAATTAATCAATTCTTCGAGGTCAGAATGTTTCATCGTACAGTTTGCCTTTGTCCTTGATTTCAGACAAAGAAAAATAACAAACAAACACGAAAAAACAACACAAAGTGGATTAAGTGGTGTGTATCGTCTAGGGCAAAAAAGAAAACGTTGGAAACTAACCTCACCTCACAAACACTCCTAGTCGATTTGATTCACTCAATTTGTTACTCTCTCACTCTATCTATTGACCAAAGAACATACGTGAAATCATGAAGAAGAAGAAGTTTGTTATGGATATAACGACTGTGTTTTTCATCCCATTTTATACAATTCGTATAGGATTGATTTAAACCGGAGTTAATCATGTGTTACAAATTAGGTTTCGCTTCTGGTTAACCTAATACCGAAACTCTCTATTCGAAACCAAAAACTCTTCACACAATTTGTTTTATATATATATTTGTGGCCACACCAACAAAATCCTGATGGTCATAACAATTGAACATTGCAACTTTTACCCATTTACCATAATAGTTTGATGCAAGCATAATATTACATGGGTCATAAGCATAATTTGGCGAAATGTGTTTATATGAATTGATGATTAAAAAACAAACCATTTAGTTTGTTAATTTAATATTTTGAAATATTTTTCATTTAAACTGTTTTACAGTATTTTTATAGATTAACATGCATCCCAATTAATTGTCTAATACTCTAATGCGTGCGTGTTAATACACCTTCTTTTCTGTAAAATATAAGTTACAGTATATGCTAATAAAACTCTTAGACATTTATGGATTACAAGTAAGATATACACAAACCTGATGAGGATAAAAGAAAATGGCATAATCTCCAGACTTCAGCTTATAAAATCCAAAGAGACAGATGACAGAATTCCAAAATCTCTTTCCTTATTTTTCATTCATATATCTTCCAATGTGTGTTGAGTTTATCATCAAAGTATATACCGTGTGTTCGAGCATCATCAATATCCAAATTATGTTTTCAAGCTGATCCATTAGTTATGCAACAGTATGTGTTTATTTTCAATTGTAAAACGTTACACGTACTGTATAGGAAACGTCGAACTCGACCTATCTAAACTAATAACGTACGATACAAAAACAAATCGATTATAAATAGACAAATGGATCAGGCCTATAATAACTACTACAGTTTTTTTGTGGTCCATTATCTTAGACTGGGTCATAATGTAAAGGCCCCTAAGTTCAAACATATTTAGACTACCTAACGATTCTTGAAATTGAATAATTGATGGATCCATAGCTTTTTGATACCCTTCGATCTCGGAATCTGATAATTTCCCTAAATTCATTGTTGGGAAATGGAGAATAGTAAATAAAACTAACCATGTACAGTGTCAATACACTCTCACACTCTCTCGATACGTTTTTGTTTTGTTTTGTTAAAGTACTCTCTCGATAAGTTTAGGACCTCGATCCATGATCTCTTCGAATCAAAGACCATGACATATTAAATTCACCATTAGATTTCGGAAAATTTTCGAATTTTTTTTTAGATAACAATGTGGTACGCTTAACGTATGCTATAGTTACGTATATTACCTTAACATTTAAAAAATTTATGTCGTAAAAGAGATAAAACAATCCTCCTAAATCGCTTCGACCATTCTACTATATATCTTATTATATAAGCATTGTGGAAAAATTATAATTAATTGAACTTTTAATAAGATCATAATCACAATATTGTCTAGTAGATCAAATTGTTTTTTTTCCGCTATGTATTGTTAATTAATTTGTGTCTTTGACGGTGGCGTTTGAGTAACTATGGTTTGTGTCATTAATAACTATCGTTTAATGAGAAAAAGGCTTGTGGGTGGAGGAACAAGATTGACAAATTTTGGGTTGGTTCTTTGAATTATCCAAAACTTAACCATAGTTACATAGTTCTTTGAATTAACCATAGTTTTGGATAATTCAAAGAACCAACCCAAAATTTGTCAATCTTGTTCCTCCACCCACAAGCCTTTTTCTCATTAAACGATCTCGAATTAAAGACGGGC